AATTTACGGGATTGCTACAAGGATTACTAATGATGCTGAAGATTATAGTAATTACTATTTATGGGATACCTCACTTGTACAGTGCTGTATTTTGCTTCACTTCACAGGGCTATTGATAATACTGTTTATCTACTATAAACAGTAGATAAAATAGAAATAGATACTTAGAAATCTTAGTATTCCTGGAACTGGGGATGATCAAAAGTCAATATGGCAAATTAGCATGCAAGATGGAGTTATTTTAGCCACTATATCATATCATCTCCATAGCTTTAAAACTATGAACTCATTCAGAGAAGCTGCATATTTTCTATGAGATCACAACAGAGATATTCAGGTCTTCATTCTTCAAATATGTATTAAACACCTATGTTTCAGGTACTTTGCTGGTACTGAGGAAATAACAGTTACTAAGACATGTTCTGTCTTCATGAAGCTTATAGAGGAAACATACACTAAAACAAGTAAAACAATTACTCTTATTCTTATTATTGTCATCATAGAAACAAACAAGGGACTAAGAGAACTAGAGGATACACTTTACAAATTACGGGTTGCCAGGTAGAAATAAACTCCATTGAGTCCCAACCGCCGGTCTTAAAAAATATAGCATAAATAGGACAGAATACAGTATAAATAAGTATTGTATCATGAAACTTTCATTGTGCATAAAGAGTGATGGTATAAAATGCATTTCTTTTAGGCCCAAGGAATAATCCATGCAATAGGAATGGAAAGACTTTGCTATGTTAAAAAAAAAAACAGAAAATAACCCTATAGCTGGGTTCCTACAAAAAGGATACAGTGGAGCATGAATGGAAGTTGAAGAAGTTAAGCTTCTGGTAGAGACTTGTACAAGAAAGAAAGAAAACTGATGCAATTTGATTCATATTTTAGAGGTCACTTTTCTTGACATATGGAGAATGGAGTGGAGAGAGGGCAAGAATGGAAACAAACACATCAGAAGGCTGTTGTAAGCAGTCAATATAGGTGATAATGGGGGCTTGGTATGGAATACAGAAAGGAGAGGGGAGGCAGCAGCAACGGTGTAGATGGATTCAAGATACAAAGATAAAATCAACAGGACTTGCTGAAGTAAGGCATTCAAATATTGTGATTCCATGTACATATAGTGCTTTCCAGATGTCTGTGTCTATGCACACCCTCCTCTTGTAATACCTGACCTTTTCCTAAGCTCTCACCCTATTAACTTGGCACACTCCTAGCCATACCCCTTTCAAAACTTGAGACTCAGCATCATCTTTCCACAAAACTTTCTCTGACCCTTAGAAGCTTTCTTCTCCAAGTTTCCTTAGCACTTTGCACATTCTTCTAACACAGTGATTACAGGCTGCAATGCAATTACCTGTTTACATTGTTTTCCAAGCATGTCCACAGCCATTTCAGGGCAGAAACTATTTTCTGTTCACTTTTAGCCTTGGGACTGATGACAGTGCTTAGAAAACTGTTGACTCATTAATCAAAGTTTGTTGAATGCATTTGCCATTGCATGTTACAAATTCCTTCATTCCTAAACTATTATAGCAAAGGGATGCCCATTCACAAAGGTATTAAATACAGGCTGGGTATCCTTGGGACCAGAAGTGTATCAACTTCTGAATTTTTTCAGATTTTGGAAAATTGGCTTTATACTTACCTGTTGAGCATCCCTAATCTGAAAATCTGTGGGGTTGTTTTTTTTGTTTTTTTGTTTTTTTTGAGACAAGGTCTTGCTTTGCTACCCAAGCTGGAGCGCAGCAGCACAATCTCGGCTCACTGCAACTTCTACCTCTCAGGTTCAAGTGACCCTCCCACCTCAGCCTCTCACATATCTGGGGACTACAGGTGTGTGCCACCACACCAAACTAATTTTCTAAATTTTTGGTAGAGATGGGGTTTCACCATGTTTCCCAGGCTGGTCTTGAACTCCTGGGCTCAAGGGATCCAACTGCCTCAGTCTCCCCAAGTGGTGGAATTGCAGCATAAGCCACTGTACTCAACTCCTAATTTGGATCTGAAATTCTCCAATGAACATTTCCTTTGAGTCTCATGTCAGCACTCAAAAAGTTTCAAATTTTGGAGCATTTCAGATTTCCATATTCGGGATGCTCACACTGTACTGAACATTTTTTTCTTTGCTCTTTTTTCCACCTGTCCCATGTTGAAAATATTCTTATTTATCCTAAAGTTTCAGATCATTCCCCAATGGCTCCATATTCAGAGAAATGGATATATATCTACATAATTTACACTGCTGTATAAATCCATTAGATTTTGTTCAATGATTGGATTGTGCTTCTTGCTTTCACAAACTAAACAGCATAGTATATAGGAAAGATCTAATTTTAAAGTTAGATTTCTGTTAATAAACCAACTCTACAATTTATTGATGATGTGGCTTTGGGTAGATTATTTAATTTCTCTGGATCTCAACTTACTCAATTATATAATAAGGTTAATACATACTTCTATATCATAGGGTTAGCCATGAGCTTAAATGTGAATGTGTAGTTAGCACAAATACACACTTAATATATTAGTTCTTGTTTCTCCAACTTGCCTTTTTTTTTTTTTTTTTGAGACAGGGTCTTACTTTGTCTTCCAGGCTGAAGTGCAGGAATGCAATCAAAGCTTGCTAGTTTCAGCCACCTGGGCCAAACAATCCTCCCACCTCAGAATCCCAAATAGCTAGGACCACAGGCATGTGTCACTACACCTAGCTAAGTTTTGTTTTTATTTTTTGTAGAGATGAGGGTCTCCCCACGTTGCCCAGGCTGGTCCTGAACATCTCAGCTCAAAGGATCTCCTGCCTCGGTCTCCCAAAGTCATGGGTGAGCCACCATGCTTTGCCCAATTTACATTCTTTACAAAGAACACAGCCTTTGCAAAACTAAAGACAATTTGTTTCTCATCTTGGCACTATCTTGACCTAAGGGCTAAGAATGGAAACCATCTACCCTTAGACACAGCTTAGACAGTAAGGTCCAAAACTACCTGCCCTGATACGGTTTACTGTCTACATTACCATGAATTTATTATTTCTTTGTCCTCATTAGCATAATTTTACTGTTCTAGAAGACTTCTGCCCAAATAACTTAATTGTTCATTATAAGAACTTCCAGAGAAATCTATTAGTTTTTCATGTTTTTTACTTTTATTTTATGTTGACAGGGTCTCAGCTCTGTCACCCCTGCTGGAGTGCAGTGGCATGATCATAGCTCACTGTAGCCTCAAACTCGTGGGTCCATCTAAGTGATCCTTCAGCCTCAGCCTTTCAAGCAGGTAGGACTACAGAGGTGCACCATCATACCTGGCTACTTCTTTTTTTTTTTTTTTTGAGACGGAGTTTTGCTCTTGTTTTCCAGTCTAGAAGACAATGGTGCCATCTCGGCTCACTGCAACCTCCGCCTCCTGGGTTCAAGCAATTCTCCTGCCTCAGCCTCCCAAGTAGCTGGGATTACAAGCATGTGCCACCTCGCTCAGCTAATTTTATATTTTTAGTAGAGATGGGGTTTCTCCATGTTGGTCAGGCTGGTCTTGAACTCCTGACCTCAAGTGATCTACCCACCTCCACCTTCAAGTGCTGGGATTATAGGCATGAGCCACCGTGCCTGGCTTTACCTGGCTACTTAAAAAAAAATTGGTTGAGATGGGGTCTCCCTGAGTTGTCCAGGCTAGTCTTGAACTCCTGGACTCAAGCCATCCTCCTACCTCGGCCTCGCAAAGTGATGAGATTATAGACATGAGCCACATGCCAGGCCTGTGAGTTCTTCCAGTAGAAAACCTCAACAGTTTATGCCTTAAGGCTCCTTGCACTCTTTGCTTTGCTGCTTTGCTTTTCCTATCAGTCTTAAACCGCTGTATCTGATCAGTGTCCAATCCCAATCAAGCCATCTTCCTCCAACCCCCTCCTACCCTCTGCCACTGAAAGACCAGCCTTAAGCCATACCCGTCAGTGAAATCTGACCTTGCTCTCCCAGTTTAATATACTACCAAAGCTCTAAGTGGTGTTCTTCCTCATCCCAGTAAGCAATAATTCAGCTGTCTTACTAAAATGCCATGTTGGTGATATTTGGGTAATTATCACTGCACAGGGCAGTACATCTATAAGCATAAAGACAAGGCAGAGGGATTTCTCCACAAATGTCTAGAAATACTGTAAAAATGAGCTAAGCTAAATTATACATCAGGCAAATTACCTCCACTAACACGTCCATTAATCAGAAGGAAATGGGTTATTCAAGACCACAATAGAAAGCTTCCTTGCAAGGGTGGCCAATGAGTCTTAAAAATTCTTTTTGATGAATTCCACATTTATATTGCGATTTGCCCAGCGCGGTGGCTCACACCTGTAATCACGGCTCTTAGGGAAGCAGAGACGGAAGGACAGGTTGAGCCCGGGAGTTTGAGACCTGCCTGGGCAATACGGCAAGACCCCGTTCTGCACAAAAAGTGAAAACAAAACAAACCAAGTATATTGCAATTTTGTAAGCTCTTCCTCACTACAGAGCTATTCAAATATGACCCTGAACCAAGAAAAACTGAGTCTCAGATATCTCATATATCTTTGGGAGTTACCAAAAATAATTCTAGAATAGGCCAAGTGACTGCAAGAGAAATAAGCAGCTTTAAAATGACGTCCTTCTGAAGAACAATCCAGACCAACATCAACTTCGCTAAATGCAAAGAACACTAACTTCTATGGGGTCTAATGACTTTCCAGCCAGGCAAAACACACAAAGCTGTGGGACTGGAAAGACTGAAGGAAGCACCAGGTACCGTTCAAAGCTTACTTTTCACAGAGACAAGCTGGTCCCAGCCGACCCTCCACAGGACTTCAGGAGCCCCAACAGCTCCAGAGAAGCGGGGAGGAGGTGGCAGAAACTAATAGGATTCCGTGGGACCCACCCTTCAGCTGACTGAGGACTGGCCGCAGCAGTGAAAGGCCTTTGGGGTCCCTAGCTTCGCAGGGGTTCCCCTGCGCGCTAGGGGATCCATACCTGGCAAGCTATAACCCGGCGAAAGCCGCACGCCATGTCTGCCTCAAGGAAGAGCGCAGTAGTCCGCCAGTCCCAGCCTCGCCCCGCCTCCTTATACGCCCCTCCTCCGCGCGCCGGAAACCCGCCCCGGAGGGTAATGCCAGCCAATCATGAAGCCGCGTGCCTCGCCACTAACCTCTGCCCTGCAGCCGCGAGGGCGCGCGGGAAATCCCGAGTACATCGGGAATCCGCAGAGCCAGTTGAGACCATGGCCACCTCGTCGGTGTCTAAGGTATGTAGTGTCAGGCGCTCACTGTGGCTCTTCCGCCGTCTCATTACCCTTTGAAAAACGAATGAGGCGGAGGTTACTTACGCAGGCCTCCGATCCCTGGCTGGAGGGGAGGGAGGTAGCGGCGTATTGAGCTGAGGCGTCCTCGCTCCAGATCGGTTGAGGCCAACTTTCCTTGGGGAGCGAGGACGCGGATCTGCCTTGTGGTGCGGCTAGCAGGATTTTTAAGTTCTGGTTGGTGGAGGTCGAATGTCCCGATGATGTGCCCCAGTCTCTCTTTTTTCCCTCTCACAAATACTGTGCGCCAAGCACTCTGTTAGGTACCGAAATGCAGTGGTAAACAAAACAGTTTCTGCAGTCTAGAAAGTCAGTAAACGGTAAACTGACGATCACAAATTGTGTTAGCAAGGAAAAGAGTTCTAGGCAGGCAACAGAAGAGAAGGAAGACCCTAATATAGGTTGTCAGTGGTTAGCGGAGGCTTTTTGGAGAATGTGTCGCTTTGGCTGAGACCTGAAAAATGAGTGGAAGTTAGGCTAAGTATTAGCGCGAGGAGGGCAGAGCGAACAACGTGTTCTTCCTCCCAGAAGATAGAAATAAAATGGCATATTAGAGGAATTTAAAATCGTAATCAGAGAGTAGATGAAGAGTGGGAGCATTATGAAAAATGAGAATGAAAAAGTAATGGGGTTGCGGGTATGTGTCGTGGAGATATCTTATGGAACTCCTCATCTTGGCTGCCTAGATGGCAAGAAATTGCAAGACATAGTGTGGTTGGTAAGAAGATAAGCCCTAGAGCTGTATTGTCCAGTGCCTTAGCCAGTAACCACATGTGGCTATTTAAATTTGAGTAAAAGTAAGATTAAGTAAAAATTCAGTTCCTCCGTTGCACTAGCCATATTTCAAGTACTCAATCACCACATGTGGCTGTGGCTACCATATTAGATCGTGCAGATATATGACATTTCTATCATTACAGAAAGTTCTGTTGCACGGCGCTGCTCTGGACCACAAAAAGTAAGACCTTCAATTCTAACCTGCATCCGCATTACTTTTTCATTCTCATTTTTCATAATGCTCCCACTGTTCGTCTACTCTGATTATGGTTTTTAAATTCCTCTACTATGCCATTTTATTTCTATCTTCTGGGCAGAAGAACATGTTCGCTCTACTCTCCTTGCCCTAATCCTTTGCCTAACTTCTTTTTTTTTTTTTTTTTTTTGAGACGGAGTTTCGGTGTTGTTACCCAGGCTTGAGTGCAATGGCACGATCTCGGCTCACTGCAACCTCCGCCTCCTGGATTCAGGCCATTCTCCTGCCTCAGCCTCCTGAGTAGCTGGGATTCCAGGCACGTGCCACCATGCCCACTAATTTTTTGTATTTTTAGTAGAGATGGGGTTTCACCATGTTGACCAGGATGGTCTCGATCTCTTGACCTCGTGATCCACCCGCCTCGGCCTTCCAAAGTGCTGGGATTACAGGCGTGAGCCACCGCGGCCTTTTTTTTTTTTTTTTTTCCTTTTGAGACAGAGTCTCACTCTGCCGCCAGGTGCCAGGCTGGAGTGCAGTGGTGTGATCACCGCTCACTGCAACCTCCGCCTCCCGGCTTCAAGCAATTCTTCTGCCTCAGCCTCCCGAGTAGCTGGGACTACAGACGCACACCACCACGCCCAGCTAATTTTTTATATTTTAGTAGAGACTGGATTTCACTATGTTGGCCAGGATGGTCTTGATCTCTTGACCTCGTGATCCTCCTGACTCGGCCTCCCAAAGTGCTGGGATTGCAGGCGTGAGCCACCACGCCTGGCCTCCTTTGCCTAACTTCTACTCATTTTTCAGGTCTCAGCCAAAGAGTCACTTTCTCCAAAAAGCCTCTGCTAACCCCCGGCAGTGGGAAGCCCCTGAAGTTAAGCTGTCTCATAAACCTGAAAAATGCAGATGAAGAAGCTACATTCTCCCTATGTTAAAACATTGGATTAATGAAGAAGGCTATATCATGGATCTGATTTTTTATTTTGATTAAAATGGTTTATAAGAAACTGCTTTTCAAGACTACATCTCAGGGAGGAAGTACAAGCCCTAGGGTTTAAGATTATGCTAGTAGAGATTTAAAGGTAGTAGTATTTTTATTAGAATTGGTACTGGTTTTGTTTTGTTCTGGTTATAATGTTCTGTAGGTTTTGAATGGTCTATCCCTTAATCATGTTTGTTGCATAAGCACCTCTTATTTCTATGTATCTTGCAGAAAGTAAGTTTTTTCAAGAAAGCATTTTTGGTATTATAACAGAAATGTCTGTATTTGGGTGAGACCTTACATGAATAAGAAGCTTTAAGAACTATTTAATGAATTTATGGAACTGCAAGCTTTTTTTCTTTTTTTCATTTTTAATATTTTGAGACAGAGTCTCGCTCTGTCATCCAGGCTGGAGTGCAGTAGTGCAATCTCGGCTCACTGCAAACTCCGCCTCCCAGGTTCAAGCAATTCTCCTGCCTCAGCCTCCTGAATAGCTGGGACTGCAGGCACACATGCCCAGCTAATTTTTGTATTTTTATTTTAAGTCGAGACAGGGTTTCATTATGTTGGCTGGCATAGTCTCTATCTCTTGACATTGTGATCTGCCCACCTCAGCCTCCCAAAGTGCTGGGATTACAGGCCTAAGCCACCATGCCCAGCCTTTTTTTTTTTTTTAAACCTATCTAAACTTTTTTTTTTTTGAGAGGGGCTCTCGCTCTGTCGCCCAGACTAGAGTGCAGTGGCACAATCTCAGCTTACTGCAACCTCTGTCTCCCGGGTTCAAGTGACTCTCCTGCCTCAGCCTTCTGAGTAGCTGGGATTACAGGTGCGTGCCACCAAGCCTGGCAATTTTTGGACTTTAGTAGAGACCGAGTTTCACCATTTTGGCCAGGCAGGTCTTGAACTCCTGACCTCAAGTGATCTGCCTGTCTCAGCCTCCCAAAGTGCTGGGATTACAGGCATGAGCCACCATGCCTGGCCCTTAAACCTATTAAACATTTTAATGTCTCTTTCCTCATGAGATTCTGGCTGTTGGCCTTCCTCTATCTCAAACACCATCAGTTGACCAGCAGATCCAAATGGTTAATCATGTTACTACCACTGCTCTATATTAAGATCCTTTCTGGTCACTTCTTATTCCTTGCTCCTTTGAAGCTCCTTTTTCCTTTACTGAATTGCAGGTGGATTCCGAAAGGAGGCAACGACAGGTTTGTCATGGTACCACATGATTTCTTTAAATATGTATGTGATTTCACACACTTTTGCTAGTTGTAGATATAAGAGTATAAAGCACAGGGCTAGACGCAGTGGCTCACATCTGTAATCCCAACAGTTTGGAAGGCTGAGATGGGTGGATCATCTGAGGTCAGGAGGTCGAGCCCAGCCTGGCCAACATGGTGAAACCCCATCTCTACTAAAATGCAAAATTAGCCGAGCATATTGGTGGGTGCCTGTAATCCCATATACTCAGAAGGCTGAGGCAGGAGAATCATCTGAACCCGGGAGGCGGAGGTTGCAATGAGCCGAGATTACACCGTTGCACTCCAGCCTGGGCAATGGAGCAAGACTCTGTCTCAAAAAAAAAAAAAGGAATATAAGGCACAGTTCTTAATTTGGAACATGTAATCCAAATGACCACTTTATATTTGCACAGCTGTCTTTAACACTATCCTTTGACAACTTTTCCTAGGTATGGTTCTTTCATTCCGTCTTATATTTTCCGTAGCAATAGAAATCTTTAAGGAGCTATCCATCATGCATGGCTTTAGGATTGGTAGAATAGAGTAGGACCGGTAACTTGCGGTCTATCTACCACTAGTCAAATAATAGGAAACTAAACATAGCTGGGAAATTACCAGGACAATTACTTGGCAAGCATTTATTCATTTCATATACTGATTGCCTAATATAAATGTTAGCACTATTCCAAACATTGGGGAAACCATTATAAATAAAATACATTTTGTCCCTGAAGGTACTGACAATCTTCTCAGAGAGACAGACCCATAAACAACTATGATATGCAATGAAAGTGACTTAAAACAATGCAAAATAAAGATGTTCAATTACGGTGAGATCTCAGGGAAAGGAGCATTTCTGGTTAGAGAATTGGGGAAGGTTTCCAAAGGAGATGAGTGTTGAGTCAAGCTTTAATGGATAAACGAATAGGCATTTATCAGATGAAGAAAAGTATATAGAGTGAAACAGCTGCAATTATCTATTTCCTACTAAGGTTATAGATACTTCAAGTTTAAATAATTTTGGGGTTGAGAGAGCATCACTATTTTCAACCTTCTTGATCTTCATTTTTTAATGTGTAGTATTAATTCCTTTAAGTTTATAAAAATGGAACCTTTCTGGAATTTAATCAGCTTTTATTTTCTTTGTCTGCTTTTAAATCAGGTGCCAAAGAGCAGAATCAAAGATGGGCCTCTCACGGGAAGAAGGGGAGAGAATATAGTCTCCCTTGTTGTTTTAGAATTATCCTTCTAGAGGTCAGAGAGAAGTGATGTGATATTTTAGAACCTGAAAGAAATATGTTCTCTGCCCTACCATCTTTTTTTTAAAAAAGTGCTTGCCTATAAAATATTTGCTTAATCAGATTTATCTGTTCCTTGGCTACTTGGACTTTATGCTTTTTGTCTTTCTTTCTTTTTATAGGGCTGCTTTGTTTTTAAGCCAAACTCCAAAAAGAGAAAGATCTCTGTGCCAATAGGTAAGATGTCCAAATATTAAATTTTTTATTCTCTACCTTCTTAAACCATTAAGAACTAACCCTAATTGAATTTAGTAATTCTCTTGTCTGAGCTTGGCTTACTTGC